GATTGTTGTGATCGGTTCCCCCTTTCTTTCCCTCCACCCTCCTGGTATCGCCACTTTCACCACTGGTCCTGAAGGGATCATCTGTCCTGGATTCCCTGTATTTCCAGTTCCTATCTGTACCAGTGTACATCCTCTAGTCTAACCAGATTTGTAAGGTAGAATTGGGATCATGATAGTGGGTGGTAAGGAAGCATATAGGAACAGGAGGAAAGTTGTATGTTTCATTGTTGCTACATTGCACCTTGCCTGGCTTATCTCCTCCCTGTGACCCTTCTGTAAGGAGATGTCCAGTTGCCTGCAGATGGGCTTTGGGTCCCCACTCCGCACTCCCCCTCATTCACAATGATGATTCTTTGTTCTTTGATGCCTGATAACCCGATCCCATAGACACCTCGTGATCACACAGACTGGTATGCTTCTCCCATTTGGGCTTTGTTGCTTCTGAACTAGATGGCCGCTTGTTTATCTTCAAGTCTTTAAGACCCCAGATGCTATACCTTTTGATAGCCAGGCACCATCAGCTTTCTTTACTACATTTGCTTATGCACCCATTTCATCTTCAGCAATTGTGTTGGGACGGTGAGCATTATGGAATGCCATTTTAATAGAACAGAATGTTCTTGCATTGAGGGAGTACAAATAACATTTTTTATGGGGAGAAAAAATAGTGTGAGGATCCCTGGTGCCATAATGGTTTCATGTTGAGCTAAGATCCACAAGGCTAGCCATTTGCAACTACCAGCCTCTCCTTGGGGAAAAGATGGGACTTTCTACTCCCGCTAACGGTTACAGTCTTGGAAAGTCATGGGGGCATTTTTATTCTGTCCTACAGGGTCACTGTGAATCAGCAGTGACTCAATGGCAGTGAGTTGAGAATATTTTATAATCTTGGAAATGCCTTTAATATCTTAACAGGAAAAACTTAAGTTTTTACACCTTCTGCATTCAGTCGGCTGTAATATCATTATCTTTTTAGATGATATTATTACATACTGTATAAATTAGGACCTAATCAGAAGACAGAATTCTCATTAGGAACAAGGATGGCAAGTTTCACAGACCTTAGCTGTGTTACCAGGAGAGAACAGGGCTTGGAGAAGGACATCAAGGAAATGGATGGACACACTAGCTGTAATAATGGATTCAAATGTAGCCACAATTCTGAGACTGGGACAGTACCTGGCAGTGTTTATTTTGTTGATAATTGTCAGAATCAAATGGATGACATTTAATAACTAACAATCAGGAGACAGAAACCACATATCAGAACTTGGATGGGGTAATTTTAATATAAAGAGTTGTAAAATAAAAAAAGTTGTGAAATAGATCAAGGGCAGCTAACCATTAAACTTGATCAAAGAAAACTGTGAAGGTGTGATAGGATAGTATCTGCTGAAAGTCACTACTATCCTTGTACCTAAGGGAACAGTGAATGAGTCTTCTATCCTCTACAGAAATTCGGACTCCCCATCAGAAGGGTGACTTAGTATAGGAGCATGCTACCTGCACTGTGGTGGTAATGCAGCAGACTGGGGAGCACCCATTGCAAACTCCCAGAGCAGTCCTCTGCTTTGCTAGACTGCTCCCAGAATCCCTATGTACTCTTCCTCCTGAGAACAGGATTTCTCTACTGCCTTTTCTACCTTTGTGCTGTCACTCCAGGGCCCCCTATTGGCAGAGTCTATGTTGAGCCAAGTGGGAATAGAGTTGGCTGAATCTGGCTCTAGTATTACAAAATGAGGCAAAGAAGGGTGATTTGGAGCTGAGAGGCAGTGAATTAATATTAGCTACCAGACTAGGTGAAAGTTCTAAAGTCCACCAATACTTTTGTTAGAAAGATTGTGCATTATGAGAGTTCTCATATACTGTTGGTTTAAGAGTTGCTTGGTATAGCCATTTAAAAAATAGTTACATTTTTAAAAAGTTACCTACACACTGTCATCTAGTGATCCGTTCCTAAGCTTCTACTCCTGGGAAACTTTGTGTATGTGCAGGAAAATCAAAGAAACGTTTTTACAGCAACATTGAATATCATAATAAAATTTAGGTAATAACCCAGATACTAATTCTTTCTATTTTAAAAAAAAGTTTTATTGGCTCCTCATCCACATATCATACAATTCAGTTGTTCTTTCACATCAAGAAGAGTTGTGCAATCATTACCGTAATCAGTTTTAGAGCATTTTCTTTTTCTTTGTACTTACTGTTAATTAGTGTAATTTTTATTGTGGAAAAAATATACACAACAAAACATTCTCCAATACAACAACTTCTACATGTTTTACAACTACTATTGGTATTCTTTCCCCAATTATTCCGTCACCATTAACATAAACTCAATGCCCCCTAAGAAAAATATGGAATGCTTCTAGAGCAAGAACCATGCTAATCTTCTTGGTATCGTTCCAATTTAGTATGTGTGCTGCTGAAGCAAGCACTTAATTATTTCTATACAGTACATCTTTGTGACCAATAGTTACACCTTAGATGCTGCCCAAGAATGAGCTTTTAAGACCTCACCTCAGATAGGCTCTGATTCTTTATGGATGCAGATTTCTAGGTCTTTCCAACTAGAGAGCCACTATGGGCTTTCACTGTCAAGCTTTGAGTTAGTAGCCAGCCCCTTAACCCATTATACATCAGGACACCTCAAAACTGATGCAGCCCCTGTTATGCTTCACTCTCATGGGTTAGTAGGTTTGCTTGAGAAGTTCAGTGTGTCTTTTGACAGTGATAAAAGATTGTTTTTCTTTTTCCATAGCTTTTATAGCTTTGTTCCTCTTTTGTATCTTGGTTTACATAGAGCTAGTTTGATTCCTCTTTATAATAGCTGTGCCATCTCTGCATTGTTTTTTCCTATTCCCTCCCTAGTCTCATGTCAGACATAATTGAAATTTCCTGGTAAAATGCATTTCAACTTTACCGATTTTTCTCTTGAAGCAACCTGAACATAGAAGTCACTTGAGAGTCAGAACCCCTCACTTCTGAGACACCCAGAACTTCTGACAACTTCTGTGACGCTTATTATTGTTATTGCTAGGTGCCTTCTAGTTGTAGTGCCTTTGTGTACAATAGAACAACCCAGTCTTGACTTTTAGCCTCTAGAATATTGAAAAAACACATTTCTGTTAATTAAAGCCACCCACTTGTAGTATTTGTGTTACAATAGCAAGAGGTAACTAAAACAGTAGGGTTCTTCACTGAGAATCTATTCTTTCCCCTCTTTTTTATTTTTATTTTTTAACTTTTTTTTTTTCTTTCCCCTCTTTTCATATTGTATTTTGGAGAAAAGTCATAATGCACAGCTCACAGTTAAGGAATATAGAATTAGGCTTTCCTTCCCTGGGTGCACAATTACAGATTATTTGGATATTTGTCTATTTATTTATGCAATTTATTTTTATCAATGTGAAATCATATTCATTTTATACTTTGACTTAAATCCAATACTACATTATTTATTTCACTGCTCAAATTATTGTGGCTTTAGTCAGTTTCTCTCATTGGTTTCTGTATCCTTTTGACATACTCCTATCTTTATTTTATGAGAACTTGCTATATGGCATTACAAGATTCTCCTGTTTCATCTAACATATCCCTGTCTCATTCCTAAATTCATATATTTCGCTAAGGAAATCTGGATCACTTTGTTAATGTTATTCAAACCCTAGATTATTTTATTTTTGAGAATGGTATTAGAAAAGTAGATGTGGGTATTTGATGTGCCCATTGTAACACTGTGTTACTTCTTACACATCCTCCAAGCAGAGAGTGCTAGATATATGTTTGTGACTAGTAACTTGTGCTGTCATTTTTTATCTAACAGTATCTATATTAAAGTAACATGAGTTCAAGGTGAAAAAAGAATCCCTCACTTCCTTCATTCTAGATTTGTATTACATGATTGCTTGTTGGAAAATATTCTCCAGTACCTGTTTGGTTGTAAAAATTTTACCAAACCTTTATTTAAATACAAAATGACATATATAAATATAATCATTGCTAGATCTTGTTTCCTCATACTAGTGCAAGTTGTTTTGGGGGATGTCACCATTAATTATGTTAATTAGTACATTGGCTAACCCTCTCAACTTCTTATGCACCAAAAGTTCAATATGTCATCCATAGACTCAACCATGTCATTGATAGAAGTACTGAATAAAAATATCTGAAATTTCTTTCTTTTCTGGGTAAAGTTGACATATTTATTGAATCAAAATTAGTATAGAACCTTAGGGGCCACCATGCTGCTAAGCTCAGTAGCAGCTGAAAAAAAACCCGGTGATATTTCATCTTCAAGTGCCCAAATATGGTTTGGGTGGAACAACTGAGAACTAGAAACAGCATAGATGAATTTTTTTTTTTAACCACTTGAAAATAGTTAAAATGTGCTTCACAGCCTTGTTTCCAGGTTATAAAGAAAACTGGTAAGATCTTCTGTTGACTTTCTTTAGTAGTGTTTGTTAATACCCTTCCCAAAACATTCTTCTCAAAGTATTGTCTATACTTTTTTCTCCTATCAGGTATACATAAGAAAAGGATTTAGTAGCACTTAGGCAAGTAATAAATAGTAGACCTTCAAAAGTTGTAAAGCCATATGCAAACATACATGACTCAGCACTTACACAGCCAGTAAGACATGAACTGACTATAGAGGTTCAACCAAGTTCCAGAAGCAAAGAATACACTCCTGGAAAGGTAAGGCCCAACCAGTGTCTGAACTGGTGAACCATTTTTGTTACGACCGCAGTTCAACACCTTGCTTCCAATATTTGAGTATGTATTTGTTTTACACCATAAAGTAAAATACTTTGAGAGAAAAAGAAGTTCCTGTAAAGGTTATAAGCCTAAAATTTCCTTAGTCCTGGACTTTGCAGGGAATGTTTTAAAATAAACAGAAGACATTTAGAAAATGACTTTATTGGTAACTTTATTCTTAGATTTCTAGTTTGTTATGTAAATCAGCATTTTTACATATCTGTCTCACATTTTCTTTTCAGGGATCCATCTGTATCTAAATCTGTAGAACGAATCTTTAAAATTTGGGAAGATAGAAATGTATATCCAGAAGAAATGATTACGGCATTAAGAGAAGCTCTGAGTAAGTGTCTTTAATAAAAGTTCAACTCGAGTCACTATTCAGTCTTAAAATTACATACTCCACAGATTTGATCCTGTTGGTTTATAATGAAAATAAATCCTTAATCTGACTCTGTTTGATTAAAATTAAATGCTGTAATAATAATTTTAAATTAAAACTGGTTTTTAAGGTGGGTTGGATTTTTTTTAATTGACTAAAGAAAGTCCATCATATAAAGTAATGATAGCCATAGATTATATTCCTGAATGTGCTTAAATTGTTCCTTGTGTTTAATAATTACTCCCCTCGCCTCTTACTGGAGAGTTTTTGGACAGGGTTTCAAATCCTGCAAGCTCTCTAGTAATAAGCAATTTGATAGTACCTACACTATTAGGGTTTAGAATTACAGTAAGTGTGCACTTATTTAGATGAGGAGCAAGCCTTTAGTCCCTATGTATTCGATGCTTGTAATTAAAGTTATTGAATAGGAACCGGTGATAGCTAATAACATGACCATCATTTGAATAGAAATTTTATTTTAAAATAGCATCTTCTAAGAAGCTGTTAAATTCTTTATTTTAACTCATTAAATCACATTTTTAAGACTTTTGCCCTCTTCTTTCCAGAATTGGTAATTTTATTGATGATAGAAATTGTGTTTATTTGACAGCTTCTTAGATCTGGTGGGTATTTTAATTTTCTTATAAAAGTGAAAGAAAAGGAAAGAAAGAACACACAGTCTCGGATTGCCTTTTTTGCTACAACTTTGGCACTGAAGTGGACAGAACAACTTCCCATAATGCCAGATTGCAAAAACTGAAATGTTTTCCAGGTACCACTTTCAAAACTCAGAAGCAGCTGAAAGAAAATCTGAACAAACAACCGAATAAGCAGTGGAAGAAATCACAAAGTAAGGAAAAAAATCTCAACTAATGTAAAATTACCTCCTGTTATTGGAGCAGAAGAAAATATAGACCATTTGACATCGTACCTGGCATAAACCATGGGCAAGCCTGTGTTTTTCCAGGACTAGGAGGCTCCCAGTGACTTAAACTTAAACAAGCCACCATGGAGAGTTACTTCTTAAAAATAAAACAAAACAAAAAACTACTTTTAACAAAGAAAATGCAGAAAAGGGGTTGAAATCAGTGAAGATTCAAGAGTAGTTGGGGAATTTAAAGAAGAAAAACAAAACAAAACCTGATCTAGTGCCCAGGTTAAGTCTTGGGTTTAAAGATGTATGAAGTTAGCGGCAGCTGGCAATAAACAACAAAACTGAAGAGGACACTAGGCATTAAGAAGCCTTTCTGTGGGAACCATGAAATCCTTCAGATTTGGGGATACGCTCTGCCAGATTAGACATGGGCCTCAAGTCCTGGCCAGAAGCTCATTCTCTAACTGGAGCTCCTGTCGATGTTTTACCCTATTTACCCAGCATGCGATGAAGGGAGTGGGCTACTGCATGTGCTAAGCCAAACCGAGGACTTTTGAGAGAGACTTGCAGGTGTGGAGGGAACAAGGAGAAAGACAGTGAGATTGGGAGGTGAAACAAGACACATGGGAAGGTTTTGCTTCAGTGAGCACTTGATGTTCATCCTAAATAAGGGAGACCCTTGGCATCCTTTGATCTAAAGTTGCATGCTTACAAACGAGAGTGATCATTTCAGCCAAAGTTCAACCACAGTGGTAATACACTTAGAACTTTCCCTGCCTATATTTTGCTATGAATTGAGTTATCAGAGACAGAAACCCAAAGCTAAATGCCTAAGAATAGAGTTGGTACTGTAAGTAAGGTTCTACAGCTGGTACACGGGATTAATTGGATTTCTGTTTTGAATACTGTTAATTTGAGGTACTAAGATCCTCTTAGACTGAGTCAGATTAGGGAAAAAGGGTACTTCATGTATCTCAGTATCTCTAAATTAGTAATTCTACACAATTTCAAGGGTCCATTTGAGGTAAGTAGATTAGATCTATCTAAATAGTGAGCATGTTTTTATAATGACCATACCTTGAAATATTTAAATTTTGTATCCCATTTTTTATTTTAGGAATCATAATATTAAATTGCATGTTTAAAAAAGTAAATCTTTGACTATCATCGAGTGGAAATTTCTTCTGTTAAGCTACTTTCTGTGTCTATATTCTTAATGACCTTTTGTTCAATTCCAACAGCATCCACAAACCCCAAAGCCGCTCTCAAGTCGAAGATAGTTGCTGAATTCCGAGTAAGTTACAGAATATGTTTAGCATGCCATAGTTTTTTGTGTTACCATTTCCTGTATGTATATTAAGAATTAGTTTTACTGAAATGTGCATCAACTGTATTATTGAAACACATTTAAACTGTTCTAAAGGAATCCAGATTGGGATTAGATTGCTTGGAACTTGCACTAACAATTAAAGAAATAACTTTTCTCTGAGAATGTTTATTATCAGCCGAGTTCTTTAT